AACACCAGGGACCCAGCCCTGCCAGTAATAATCCGCTTCGCTTCGTGAGCACCTTCTGTGTGCCAAGGAGCATGCTAGGCGATCTACTTGCATTATCTCATTTAATCCTCACAACAACCCTCTAAAAATGGCATAATTATTAGTATTATTATCATGAACCTCCCCATTATGCAGATGAAGTCACTGAGGCACAGACAGATGCCCTGCGCTGCAGCATCAGGAGGGGCTGCATTTCTTCAATGGCTTTGCTCGCTCCCTCCAGATGCTCCCACATCCACCCCGGGGAATATTTAGAGGGTGACAGCTGCAGGGCTTGGCATGTGCCCCACAGGTGGCCAGCCAGTTCTTGTTGGAGGGTCTCAGGAGGAATGGGGGCCTTCCTGGCACAAAGGCCAGGTCTAATTCAGAGCTGGGCAGGGGAGAGGCCAGCAGGAAATCGCCCACAACGCACCTGCAAAAGGAGTGAGTCTTTCGTTGTTAAGAAAATGCAGGTTTCCATAAAAAGCATATTAGTTACATGAAGATAACTAGAAGAAACAGCGCAAACTGTTCAAAGTGGCTGCTTCTGCGGAGTGGGTTTGTGGCCCACTGAGGCCTGATGTAGCTTTTCTCATTAAGTGTCTTCCAAGGCCATTAGTATTTTTAACCAAAAGTTTATTTTTGAAAAAAGAGGCCGTATCAAGTCAAATGTTCTTCCTGTGTTTTTTTTCTTCTTCCTTACGACTTCGATCTCTGCCTCCTTTTTTTCTAGGAAGAGAAAACATTGGGCATCCTGGTACGGCAGTGGCGTCTCAGGCAACGTGGCCATGGAGGTGGATGGGCTGCCCTTCCACCGTACCCACACCCAGGTGACCCAGAAGCTGTTGGATGTCACCAAGGTGCCCGTGTGAGCTGGCATTACAAGCATGGGGAGTGCGTCCCAGATGGCCACACCTGGATCAAGGGATCTCGATCCTTTTTTTTACAACAGCCTTGCAAATAAACACCAGCCCGGGGTGAGCAGTGTGCCCCACGCTGGCTGAGAGCCTGCATGCCCATTCCTGGGAGGCGGTAGTGCAGGCGGGCCAAGGAAAAGTTTCTCTGGGGTTTCCAGTTTTTGCTTTTATTCGTAAGGGTCTAGAGTTTTTGATTTCAACCCTCCTTCACCCTGGCTCCTTAGGCCACCCACGTGGCCTGCCCCGGGAGTCTTCTGGCGGATCACTTGTAGACACCAGTGAGCAATGAACTACCAGACAGTCAAAAGAGCAGGCGTTACCAGGGCCATGAACAATCCCCCAGGCTAATTAAGAAATAGTAAAATGTACAAACGTGTAATATATTTTTATGAAGCTCTGGGACTTTACTAAAGGTTTACTCACGGCCGATAGCAAAACATTTATGCCTTTGAAATGCTCTCTTTTTTAAACAACATTTTGTTTACTTAGGCAAAAGACCCCTCAGCCTTACACTTCTCACCATCCCCGCCACCCTGCCCGCTTCTCACCCCCTGTGCCTCCTGAGACCCACCACAGAGCCTGACACTTCCTCCTCCCCATCTGCTCACCCCCGGACTGGGGCCAGGCGCTTTGCCTTCTCTTCATGGGAGGGGTGGCCATACTTCTGGACCCCAGGGGTGGGTCAGGATGGTCCGGGACTTAGGTCACTCACAGAGGCCTCCTTCCTGGACAGCGCTAGCCAGCTTGTCCTTATCTCCTTCACGACCTCCCACCGCACATTTCCCAATGAAATCAGAAGCAGAGTCACTGACCACATCCCATTACACTCGCGTATTGGACCAATACAGCACCGT